CCAGGAAGCTTTTGAAAGTAATAGGCAGTCAGAAGGCAGCACTCACTACATAAGAGATTTTTTTCAAGTAAGCTTTGATAGCATTATCAAAAGCAACTCTAGTATGTATTCCTATTACAATGCTGATGTTATAACATGATATTATATGCTGGGACGTTACAACAAATTTAATGATGCAGAGAGTGCCACTGATGTAATCACATCAATATCACACTGAATAATTGAAAAATGGTGAATAGAAAGGGGAGCCATCGGCATCATTCTACCGTGCAAAAGGTAAATACTGTATATATGTTATTATATGTATTCAAAAAATACAGCCACTTGGGGCCACAAGGGGAAAGTTGATCTGGGGGAGTCCCAAGTTGGGCTTTAAAGTTAACCTGTCATGAGACAACGTCAGGACTGCCACTGGTGACTCGTTTAAAAAAAGTATGCCACATACCTAGGTTTTCTGAAGACTCACAGCTTCAATACTTTCAAATCACTGACCTGGAACAAGTTTTCAGACCAAATAGGTCACACTTCATTTGAATACTTTTTGCAGGTCAGTGATTCAAAGTGGTGAAGCAAAATGGCCAGTCATGGAAGAGAATGAAAAGTCTCCTCCACATATTTAGTGTTGAAGATGTCTGCTGCCCTCCATACTGTTGAAACCAACGTAAACAGGATAGGTGCTCAAAGTGACCACCACGGATGGCGCCATCCAAAACCTCAGAGATGTGAAGATAGGTCACCAACACTCTGAATGCAAAAACAACACACAGGTCAAAGTTGCCAAAAGGGGCCATGCAGGGTCCCTTCCTCAAGACAACACAGCTACCAGGAAGAGACCCTGTGTGACCCCAAACGTTGGCAATTTTCACCTATGTGACGTTTTTGCAATAAACAAGACTTTCTTTACATTTGGAGTGCTGGTGACCTATATCCAACCCTCCACATATCTCTCAAGACAAATTTCCTTTAAAGTCCTGTTCACAATATGAGTGGTGCTGTTGTTCTGCACCGGAACTAGTCATCCTACATTGCATACAATCTAATTGCTTTGTATGTGCCCCAGTCATACCACAATGTTGATGTAAAGTACTATGCAGAAAAATGTAGATATGCTAGTTTCTTCCATAACGCACAGAGCTCACACAATGTCAGCGCCGATCACTGTACCGCACCTCTGCTGCAGGAGATACTGTAGATGTGAATAACATGTCACTTAGACATTTCAATAGTTTGAGAAAATAGAATGGTCACAAGCCGGCATGCTATAACACAGGCTCTTTGAATGAGCCTAAAGAGGACCCCTAACTAAAGCAATTGTAATGTGTGTGTACTGTACAGCCCCAATGTGAAGACTCAACCATGTAAATTTGTACCAATGATCAATCTGCTACCACTGCCAGTGAGAATTTGGCACCATTGTCTTCCATGAGTAACCCTTGCACATATTCCAGACAGGCAGCAGAGTATGCAGTGATACAATTAGGTCACTGGAAAATGTTTACAGAGGTCATCTTGTAAAAGCCTTGCTTCATTAGATTACATAGGTCCTATAGGTACTGCTCAGAGATAGGGGATATGGTTACACCATAATGTAAAGATTTATTCATGTGACTGAAAGATGCTTGCAGAGGGTTTCCTTTTTTCTGACAGGCCCTCAAAGGAAACCCTTGACCTAGAAAACAAAAAGGGAACAGAGCACTGTGTGTAAATCGTGTAAAATCGTTTATTACATTAAATAAAACAAGGGATAAAAGTACTCACAAACTTTTTCATCAGGCTTTAACAACAAACGAGAGGCAACGCTGTCTGTTAACCCAACATGGTATCCCCCCCCGACTATGTAACACGGTAGCCTCCGGTCACATCACCGTCCACCGACCGCAGTCAGCCAAGATTGACGCGTTTCAGGGGCAAGCCCCCTTCATCATCAGCACTGCCCCAGAAACACGTCAATCTTGGTTGACTGCGGTCGGTGATGTGACCGGAGGCTACCAGGTTACATAGTCGGGGCGATACCTTGTTGGGTTAACAGACAGTGTGGCCTCTCGTTTGTTGTTAAAAGCCTGATGAAAACGTTTGTGTTTGTGAGTACTTTTATCCCTTATTTTATTTATTGCAATAAACAATTTTACACACGGAGGTGGCGCTCTGTTCCCTTTTGTTTTCTTTGTTCGTGGTGGAAACCCCAGAGCCTTGGATGAGCAGCCCCTCAAGTCTGTGTGAAAAACTGTGATAAACTGTTGAAAACTTTGAGTGTGCAACAGCAAGTGGATTGTTCAGCTGGCAGCCATTAGCGCCAAGAGTTAAAGAAAACCCTTGACCTAGCCTGGTACAGTGGCCCTAGGTCCTAACGTTGGCCATACAAGTATTAGTAAACAATTGATTGATCTTTCCCTCAAACTCAATAGATCAATCTGGTTAAATATGATTGGATCTTCCACCAGAACACTTTGTTCCTCCTCGATAGAAACAATTGTTTTCATCAATGCGTTTCTGAAGGATATGATTGTTTCATTAAAACATACATTATATAGAACAATTGTATCATCATGTGTAAACTAGCAATAGTGAAGACACCGTTCTGCTGCTGATCAAAGCTGACATGCACACTCTACTCCTATTGGCCCCCAGAGAGACTCCTTATCACATTTGGTAGCCAATACGTAGGTTTGGGAAAAGGGCGAGCACCAGAGCGCAACCACACAGCTTTGGCAGCTTCCCGGTGGTCCTGATGGTCCTCTAGAAGTAATCTGTGCCATCAGGAACCTGGAGGTGGCTTCTCTTAGAACCTTGAATACTAATGCCACAGGTTAACTTTAAAATGACACTGTCACCTTACCCATGTAGGACAAAATGACAGTTTTTAGGCAAAGGTCCCCCAACCCGATTCTCATCTTACTACAGCTACCCTGACGCTTCCTCCTCCATTGCAAACCGGTGACTACCTAGTGTGGTCTCCTCCCCTGTGAGAGTGCTCAGGCATAGCAACCAGAGCACTGACCAAGGGATGGACATTACTGCTCAAACTAGTCACCAACAAGGCTTACTGCAAGGGGAGAACTGGTAAAGTGGGTAGAAGGGGTTTGGGGGTTCCCTTTACAGAGACTTTCACTCTGCCCTGCACAGGCAAGGTGTCAGTGTCTCTTTAGGAACCAGTCAGAGAAATGATGACCACTACATGTCTCTAAAGGATCTTTTTGATCCAGGTCATGATATACCTAGTAGTAGTTAGTGACATTGATCTGAATCTGTAATATTGAAGACGTTTCACTACTCATCCAAATAGCTTCCTCATTTCTAATGGGGGCAGGAACATTGCCCAGTGTAGCTATGCAACTGGTTTTCAGGAGGTACCAAAGGGCCAACCTAAACTGCAACAATCATCTCTACACAAGGTGGGGGCCTTTACACTCTGTCACCAACATATAATTTAATTTTAACTTATGTACCTTAGCAATTTGACAATTCACACCTTCAGCCATGATATGCAAACTATTAACACATGTCTCAGACTGCAAGCACCATGCTGATTGGATTATGGAAAATAATGCAAATAAAATGCACAGTGTCAGTTCTGAAATGAGTAACTGGACCACATATGGTATAAAACATAGAACAAAGTCAGATCTGATTGTAAGTAAAGACACCTATAATAAGATAACAGTATATGATGAGCCCACTGATCTGCATATCCCAACAACTGCCCATGGAGCCATCTACTAGACTGTAAGCTCTCGGGAGCAGGGTCCTCCTGTGCTGGGATAGTTTTGTTATTGTACTGTCTTTCCTCTTTTTGTAAAGTGTTACACAATCCGTTGGCACTATATAGACCCTGTATAATAATCATAATATAATTAAAGCTGAACTCCAGTGATATATAAAAGACTTCTTCAGCTCTGTAATCATGAATGGCTAATTTCACCTTGCTGACCAGTTTTAATGGTATACCCATATTTAGTGTATAGGATGAAACCTGATCACTGTCCACAGCCCCCCACCCCTTTCCTGTATCTTGGGGTTCTTCTCCCTGCAGCATCTTGTCTATCTTTTACGCGGTTGTGGATGGATTGGCTTATCCAGCCATGTCATTCAAAGCTCCATTTACAGGATCATTAAATGCAAAGACTATGAGTCCCATCTGCCCACGGCAGAGGAATTTGTGCATCTTAGTGAACCATATCACCACACTTGTAGCCCACTGATAACTTGTTCCAGCCCTATAACCGAAAGTCTGTACTTCTGTACAAACCTGGGACAGGAAGAACTGTCTGCAGGAGACTGGGCATTTTTTTTATATATAGGCAGTATAAGTACCTAAGTTTGACCTGGTATCAGCCTATTGCCGTCCCTGTATGTACAGCAGGGCACACATTGAGGAAGAAGCAGAATAAGAAGTCAATCAGTTGTGTAGACAAGAAGCATTGCAAATGATAACAGGTCAAATTCAGGTATTTACCTGTATTAAAAAAAACTCCCAGGCTCCTGCAGACTGTCCTTCCTGCTCCAGGTCTGTACAAAGGTGCCGATAGGAGGAGATAGCAGAGTGGCAGAGAGATGTTCTCATCACTATGCTGCTTCTCCTTGCACTGTCCAATCACAGGCTGGGAGCGGTCAGGATGACCTGGCCTCAGCGGAAGTGGGTTGAGTGATACTGCACCTCAGACTGAGGACATCTACTGGCAGAAAGAAGTACTGCGGTGGAAGGCTCAGAATAATAAGATAAATACTATCTTCTAAAGGTCTGATCACAGTCATCATGGTATTTGTGCTTTTTTAAACTTTACACCTCTGATCACATCCCTGATGATTCTTATAAACAATGTCAAAATAATAACAGCTGTCAGTATGCATGATACATAAAGATGGATCGGATCTGATATATGATGATCAGCCTCTCTACAATCTCCCTATAGGTCCTAGGGAATGTGAAGGTGTCACCCAGGAAACAAGGACATGTCACCCTCTCCTCCCGCAGCCTGCGCTGTCCATGTGCTTTGTCCTACCTGCCCGGCCGCCTCTCCAGACACGACGCTCTGCCACCGGGACACGCAGCTCACTGCCCCGTCCGGCCTGAACCACGAGCAACGTAAAGTGAGCGGGCGGGGCGGATCCGGGCTACTCCTTCCCTGCCACACTGGAGGGAGATCCACGTACCATACAGAGAGAGCAAGGACACGACCATCTCCACCTACTACTGACAGCGAGACACCGGACCCAATGTGATACACACACAATGTAACACAAACAGCCCGTACCTTTGTACAATGTGACACACACTGCTGGTACCCGGACACAATATAACAGACGCAATGCTCGCATTCGGACACAATGTAACACACTGCTGGTACCCGGACACAATGTAACACACATACTGCCTGCATGTCTTTATTACCCCCTCAGGAGCCCTACCCAGCACGGCGCACCGCGCCTTATCCCAGCCAACAACCTTCTACTAATGTCATTTCAATAAGCCCCTGGGGACACGACCACCGCAGCCAGGGGTGCCCTTCATCCCACACCTCTGTTCTAGGAACATTGCCGGCTGTTCACCTCCGCACGGACAATGCTTCTGTACAATAAACCTGCTCTGAGTCACAAATCACACAGCAGCAGCTTCTCAGCTTTCATTCTATCAACCCCGCCTACCTAATCTTGGTACAGTCCACAATCGCTGGCTGCATCCCGGAAGTTGATACTGTTTCCTAGCAACAAGATCTCTGCTAAGAGAAGGTGAGTGCTGTATTCCTTATTCTCTGTACTATTTCATTTTATTTTATATCATCAGCTGGTGTTTTATACCCAGATAGAGGAAAATTGTCAGTTCGATGTGTTCTTAGTGTAATTCATATTGCATTTATAATAGAGGTGCTAAGATCTGTTGTTAAAGGGTAAGTTCACTTTCCCAAGTGAATTTGGGAAAATGAAATTACATGCTCAAATCTGGCCCCCTCTATCCCCCCTCTCCCTGCTACAGTTACTTTTTGGCATGGGCGACCTCTCCTTCCCCTCCGCCAGTACAGGTGTACTCTCCATATCCTGTACTGACTCATAGAGCAGCCCTGCGCTATGGATTGTGAATTTTGCTTGGAAATTGCGAGCACTCATTGGTCAGCGCGGTCCCACGTCAGTACAGTGGGACATGTCCTGACGTGGGACCGCGGTGACCAATGAGTGCTTGTAATTTCAGTATGGGCTATGAATAGTACACCTGTACTGGCAGTGCGTTCCAGAGCTGTTAGCTGCTGGAACGCACTGTATCCCATCCTGACCGGTTTCCTGCGTTCAGGGGTGGGAGGGGTAGCGGTGGTGCATTGTTTATGGTGTGAACAAGCCCTTAGGCCAGGTTCACAACATTTTCCAGACCAGATCTGCAATGCGGTGCATTGCATTTTGCTGCTTACAGGTACAGTCCAGTGCGTTTGTATGCATTTTTGTATGCATTTCCATTCGTTCCAGTGCTATCCAGACCAGAGAAAATGAGACAAGTAGTAATTTTTTGTCTGGGCCAGAAAGGACTGTGCTGGTGTGAACAGAGCCCAGAAATACCGTAGGGATACATTGGGATGACTTTAATATCACTTTATGTTTTACTTAAAGTCTACTTAAAACTAAATGCCTAACCAAGACTACCTTGTCTACATGGTGAAATCACTTCTCCACGATTTCAATGTTGTCACCTTGGAAAAGGAAGTGGAAAAATAAAGGATCTACTGGCAGGATCAATAAAACTATATTAAAGGAGGGACTCAGAAAAAGAAAAACTACTGTGCTGGTGTGTGTATGTTGGTGACATACTGCGTCATATATGGGATTTTAGATGTTTCCTTTAGTTCCACTTTAACCATCAAAATTCTTATATTCTCAAAACGTTTAACCCATCCTCTAGAAAAAACATCAGTAAAATTAACTGAATTTTTTTTTGTATACTTTTCATTGTCTTGGTATCTTTTCATTGAAGTGCAGAGGTGACATTAGGGGCTTGTAGATCCCAATGTCTCCTTAAAGAGAACCTGTCATCTTTAAAGTTCCATCACATAGGGGCCCTAAAAAATGAAGATAAATAAATTATAAATATAAAAATACTCCAAACATTTTTTTAAGTCTCCCACCCTTTATAAATATATACGACCGCCTCCTTAAAGCGGTTATACCAAGAACACGGCTGCTGCTGCATTGAGTGCAGGGAGATCAGCAGGCTTCTAGCCGCTGATCTCACCTTTGATCACTGGACCCAGAAGTATTACAACACTTCCAGTGTCACTGTGCACATTCCCCATCTTGTTAGCCCCCTTTGTGATAACAATACAGTTAAGTGTAAAAATAAACAAACAAAAAAATAAAAGTAACATATAAAAAAAAATTGAAAAAGCAGAAGAAAATTTTTAAAGTCACCGACATGCACATAGGGTCCGTCTACAAGCAAAAACGTAAATTGCGCCACGCATGTTGCATATCTCCACGAACGTCGGAGTGAGAGCAATAATTCTAGAGCCATTCATCACTATTAGCACTAAACTTATGAGCACTAAAAGCTTTGAAAATGTTGTCTGTGTGACATTTTGGGTATTGTCGTTTTTTGTGGTTTCACGGACGCACGCAATTTTAAGGCTTGACATGTTTGGTATCTATTTACCTGACGTTATCCAATCTTTTACATTTTATTTTAAAAAATGGGTATTCTGTTTCTGGGCACTAAATTTAATTTTAGTGTATTTTATACTAAAAATATCGGTTTGTTAAACATTTGACATAACAAATTGTAACTAGCATGTTTTTATTCAAAAGGGTATTGGCTTTAAAAAAAATATCATTGTTTGGGGGTTTGAAGCTGTTTTCTAGCCAAAAATTCTGATTTTATCATGTGTGTGCAAATAGTAAGAAATTGCTCCGGACATGAAGTGGTTAAAAATGTGTAATTGCCAGCCATTTCATGGAACGTCAAGCAAAATACTGAATTGATTTCTTCAATCGGAGTTCAGGCATCTTTCTCCAGCACTGCCAAGTGTGCCCTCAGTTAAAATGGCCGCTGGTGCTTCTCCATCACACTCAGCGCTCTGCATTCACATTCACTTCTGTTGCAATTGCTAAGTTATCAGTCCTGAGCGCTGACTTGCAGCACAGCGTTCAGTGGCAGTTTGTTAACTCATCACTCTGAGCAACTGAACACACCTCAGGGGTGGGCAAACTCCTCCAGCTGTTGTGGAACTACAAATCCCACAAGGCATTGCAAGATTTTCGCATCCACAGGCATGACTCCCAGAGACAGATGCATGATAGGATTTGTAGTTTCACCCCAGCTGGAGGGCTAGAGTTTGCCTACCCCTGGTATAATGATGAGAACAATCTGAATAAAGGCATGTGAAATAAGAAAAAGGAATCTGCATCCTGAATGCTCGTATTCCATATATTATACACAACATGTGTCACAATAGTTATCTGTAGTGTAACATGGAATTTCTTTGTTGCTCTAGGTCTAAAATGGAACACGGTGATACAGAGGAGACCTTTCAAGTGTCTAGTGATGAGGTAAGAGAAAGCAGACTCACTATGGAAATGAGTAAACAGAACTTCAACTGATGTTACATTTCCTAAGGTGGAAACCCTCAACATACACAACTGCAACATCTAAATTAAAGTCTGCATTGAAGGGAATTCATAAACTTTGTCTCAGCTGGAACTCGGCCGATTGGTCTTTACATTTTCATTTTCTAAGCTGCGTAGACAAAAAATAATGAAGGTAGAAGCTGATTGGTTGCTATCAGCAATGGCACCAGTTGAGATTGTCACTTGGTGCCACATACTGACAGATCTAGCGGCTATCATTGTATGCAAGAGGATTGCTATTTCTGGCCTCTTTCTGCTTTTTTCCTTCACATGACTCTAACACTAAAACATTCGCACATCGCCAAAGCTGCCACTGTTTAAATTTTTTTTCTTTTTTTTTTACTTTATTAGTAGTGTTTAATGTGTCTATCACAATGCATGAGGACTTTTTTTTATTTTTTTTTATTTGGAGTGTACAAACTGTTTACTCCATTCAGCAGTGCATGTCTGCATTTTTAATCAGCAAACTTCAGATCTGCGCTGTGTTGTGAACATTAGTCTTTTATGGGTCCAAGCAGTGAATGGAGTCATTCTGTTGCTGGAAAATGCCAGTCACCCCATATAGCGTGAATGGGCCCTTAGGGCTTGAGTTACTAACGCATCAAAAAACCCCGTGTCCACTTCAAATGTCTGATCACGTGAAGAAGCAAATTCGCACGGCTCTAAAATTAGCAAATAATTAATATGTGTAAAAATCAGCAATAATTCATATAAGTGATATTAAAAACAATGATGTTCAAATAATAGGTGATGTATCCGTGTATAAAGTACAAAAAGAACCAACATGCAAAGTGCCATCAAAGTACATTGTGAACTATCAGTACGTGGTAACCGAAAGCAATCAGATTTTTAACAACTTTGTTTAAAGTGCAAAATGCAATCAGTGCAATCCAAAAACAACGTGACTGTTTCATTAGGAGTGAAATCCAAATCAATTTTTGATCAATGGTAACCAATAGCAACCAGTTTGTTTCCACTTCACACAACGTGCAATCAGTACATTGCAGACCAAAGTGAGCTTTCAGTTTGTGGTATTGGCAATGATAATTTCTCATCCACCACAGATACGTTTTGGCCTCAACCACATCTGTTGTATCCAATAGCAAAAAATCTATTTGCTATGAGCTACCAACTGGTAATTCACAATGTTCTTGGATTGCACTTTGCACTTCTCTTCTTTTTGCAGTTAGGTATTTATTTGTTTTATCACATATTCAGGATATTTTTACCTATTGTTTTTAACGTTTAATGCTGCGCATATTCATTCATTATGTTTGTATATCCATTAAAATATAGCACAGTGTGAATGAGGCCTTACAGTTTGGCCCAGGGGTAGGCAACCTTGGCACTCCAGCTGTGTTGAAACTACAGATCCCATCATGCCTCTGCAGTGTTGCCGCTAGCCTTTTTGCCGCTGTGGGGGAGTGGATGCAAACAGAGCAGCGGTATATGCATAGAGGAGACAGCGCCACCGGACACGAGAGTGATGCCACCCTCTGCAGGCTCTGCATCTGATTGCCAGGAGCTGGATGGGACGCCAGTTGCTAAGAGCTGGGCGGGGAGATGCAGAGCCTGCAGAAGGCATGATCACTCTCATGTCTGGCGGCGCTGTCTCCTCTACGCACCTCCCACTGCTCTGTTTCCACGCACTCCCCACAGCGGCAAAATGCCCCCCATCTCCTCGCCCAGCTCTTAGCAACCTGGGACGCTCTGGCCAGAAAGGGGGTGCCCCCCCCCCAGGTGCCCCCCCTCCAGGTGACCTAAAGAGATGTGGCCTGAGGCAACAGCTCATTAAAGGGACAGCCCTGCGCCTCTGCCGCTTGGAGTCATGCCTGTGGCTATCAAGAGTCTTGCAATGCCCCATGAGACTTGTTGTTTCACTACAGCTGGAGAGCTAAGATTGCCTGGTTTAGCCAATCACGCGCTTAACATCTTAATGAGGTAAGAAAAAGCCACATTTGTGGTAATATTGGTCATGATGATCCCTACCATCTATAGTGCCCTCAGAGGAATATCACAGTGGATCCTGGTGGTGCAGTGATCCAAATATGAAAAGAGAGATCCCTTACAACTTCTTTGGCACTCTTCATATGAGATTAGTAGACTTTCATACTCACTCATAGTCTGTCTCTAGCCCAAACCTTTTGTTTTACTTCTGGGCAGAGTAGCAGAAACAGAGTTTTTCTTTTGCTGTTCATGTTCCATTGGGGGATTTCCCCTCATTTCCTGTCCTGTAGACACATCGGAAAGTAACTGGAAAGCTCTCCAACGTGGGGGAATTCACTAGTTGTCCCCAGAGCAAGTTTCCTCACAGGAAAACATGTCTTCACTTCCTGCTTTAGTGTCAACTTTAAGACTTTGGAGCTCCCATCATCTAGAGCCTTGGTTCTCAACTGGTGGGCGGTGACCCTAAAGTGGGTCGTCTCACGCTTTCCACTTTTTTAGGTGAGAGGCTCCTCTGCCTCCCCCTAGCGCAGCCCTGTCAGTTCTTGTGCCAACCAGACAATCAAAATATGCTTCCCGGCACCGAGTGTCAGCTTGAGGGATGGGATGGGGCTATGATAGCGAGGGAGCTCCATCCATACGTGCATTGCTTACAGCTCCCTCACGTGTCCTGTAGGGATGCCTGGACCGGAGTGACATCACATTCTGGATCCCGGCACCTATACAGGGCGTGCAAGGGATCTGTATTAGCAATGCACATATGGATGGAGCTCTGTCACAGCACAACAGCCCACACTGGACCCCAGGCTGAGGATCCATTCCAGTTCTCGTAAGGTAGGGAGGCTGGGTGGACCTAAAAAAAAAAAGTGAGAATGTGTCTGTGTATGTATGTCAGTGTTTTTGAGGGCCCGTTCACACTACTACAGTGCTTTAAACTGTACCACACAATCGCACCTACCATGCATTCTGGTGTGGCCGGTGTGTTGCGTTGCCATTCATTTTTGAATGGTACCCTAAACGCACCTCCCACCCACAGTTTGTAAGCCCCTCACCGGATCATGCAGTGATCATGCCGTGATCATGCCGTGCCTTCCATTGCAGTGCGACTTGGGTCGCGACTTAATGACCAAGGATAAATGTGGGTCCTGAGCTTACACAGGTTGAGAACCACTGATCTAGAGCCTTGGTTCTCAACTGGTGGGTCGTGACCCAAAAGTGGGTCGCGACCCCGTGTTCAGTGGGTCGCCGTGTGCCTTCTACTTTTCTAGGTGAGAGTCTCTCAGCCTCCTCCTAGCGCAGCATTGTCAGTTCTCATGCAGCACAGCCATTCAGAATGTGCTTCCTGGCACCGAGTGCCAGCTTGAGGTGGGGTTGGCTGGAGCTATGGCCACGAGGGACCTCCATCCATACGTGCATTGCTTACAGCTCCTTCACGTGCCAGAGGTGCCTGGACCGGGGTGACCTCACATTCTGGCTCCCGTCACCTCTACAGGGTGCGCAAAGGGAGTCACAGCACAGCAGCCCAGCACTGGACCCCAGGCTGAGGATCCACTCCAATTCTCGTAATGGCACCCCAAACACACCTCCCACCCACAGTTCGATCACCTGCACCGGAATGCACGGTACCGCAATGCAGTGCGTTCCATTGCAGTGCGACTTGGGTCACGACTTAATAGCCAAGGACAAATATGGGTCCTGAGGTTACACAGGTTGAGAACCACTGATCTAGAGGATGATTTATAAATCATCCGCCCAGCTCTATGCTGGCTAAATGCCGTTCACACAGCATTGTCATAACTAGATGGAGCCGAGGAGCATAGGGATATCCAGTGTATACTGCCAGTGTATGACTGGGCAGGTAATTTATTTCTCCTTATATTTAATCTGCTCAAATTGACACCAAACTCAGGAGTTAAATCTTCAAGTACCTTAACTATTAACAAAAATGTATCTTATTTGTGTATCACTCGGCTGTAGATCCTCAAATCATCTCTGACAATGTTCTGACACTGTCCTTCCTTCTGAAGGGTGGCTACTTTTGTTCCCCATGGTCCCTGTGTGTGTTGTAAAGTATTCACAGCTCCAAGCTCACTCTTGTGATTAACTCCAAGCTCAATGCAAATTAGTAAAATAAACATGAGATCACAGGAGCGAGCTTGGAGAGGTGACTACTTTACGACACACACAGGGACCATGGGGAACAAAAGTAGCCACCCTCCAGAAGGAAGGACAGTGTCAGCACCAATTCAGAGATGATTTGAGGATCTACAGCCGAGTGATACACAAATAAGACACATTTTTGTTAATAGTTAAGGTACTTGAATTCATTTTTAAGATTTAACTTCTGAGTGTCACTTTAATGTATAGAATGTATATTTAGATACATTATAATGGATATTTTATATTTAACACATGTATGTCAATGCTGCACAGTTGGATATATTATAACACATGTATTTAATGTTGCGCTTTGATAGATTATATGTAACACATGTATTTAATGCTGCACTTTGATATATTATATGTAACACATGTATTTCAGTTCTGCACTTTGATATATGAATTGCAATTTTAACAGACTTTGCAAGACAACCCTTCTACAACTGGGGAGACCACAGATGAGACTACACTTGTAACAAGCACTCAGGCCATGGCATCTTCCATTTACACCCCCAGCGAACAGAGGTCGGATGTGTCCCAAGGCATGGAGAACATATCAGAGCCAGGTATTCCAATGGGTGTGCACAAATAACACAGTCATACATTATGGCTTCCTCTTGTAAGTGATATTTTAGATTTGTCCTAACTCTACTTTTCTAGTCATTTGCACAGAGCCTGTTGGTCATCCGTTTGACCTCATTTATTAATTGGTGTTACATAAAAAATGTTCTGTATTGCTCCACAGAATCAGACTTTTATTCAACAAGTCATTTTCCAGAGCTGATTTGATTGGTTGCTATATGGCAGCACTGATAGTACTTCAACAAGGCCCATTGTGTTGGATATCTGTCTTCTTACCCTTACTATGTGCTTTGTCAGTACCTTGTTTTTATAGTTTTTCTTTGTTTTTGTTTTTTAAGGTGACACAGGAGTGGTGACTTCCTCCCCATTTGCCTCTCTGCGTCAGTTCAGCAAAGACTTAGATGACAGTGATGATGATGAAAAGGAACAAGAACCGCATGACCCCGAAGAGGAAGAGAAGTCTGCTGATGAAGAGAAAGGGGATGATGAAGATGAAGAATTGGTGGTTTTAGACCCAAATCATGTAAGAATCTCAGACAACTTCCACAACTAGAGCCGACAAACTGCTGCAGATATAAAGTATGTGTCCAACTAGATGATGGTCAGGAAGGTGTTACATCCCGTCACAATTGTTCAGTTTGTTAACGACCAGTGACAGGATAATCCCGTCATGCGGTACCATGAGCGCTGGTCTGTGAAGGGACCAGCACTCATTGAGTTACTGCTGTTGCCGAGTCCCTCGGGGTCCGAGGCAGACCCCCAACAGCAGATTAGGTGGTCACTGTCCTGTAATCACAGCGAGAACTGATCTATGTGATCGCAGAGCCGTGACAGTCACAGAGCCGACAGCCGCTCACTGTGTTGTGAATCTGCTAGCCAGCTGTGTGTTGCAAAAGTGATACAGAGTATCTCTGAGGAGAATACTGTATTCTATTCAGAGATACTAAGTATCAAAGGCCTTGTAAATAAAAAAAACCCTTAGTGCCCCCTAGTTTAAAAAATAATACAATTTTTTTAAAATAAAGTTTTTAAAATTTTTTAAAAAAGGACAAAAGTTTTTTTGTTAAATGTTTAATAAAAACATCATAAGAAAATATAGTGCCAAGGAGGCTATTAAAGATAGGAGAAAAACATACCACATTCTAAAATTATTCCATACTAAAATTGTATTTCACTTTTTGACCTATAACTCCCAAAATAAACTGAAATCCCAGACATATATTATACACTATAAATTAGAACAAATAAAATAATTTATTATGAATTGCTTTTCTGTTAGCTACACTAATTATGTACACATTATTATTGCCAAAACTGTGAATGTGTGTGTTTTAAAAAAAATAATTTTGTATTGTTTATAAAAAAAAATAAGATTTTATATATGCATATGTCACATCAAATTAAAACTAATTTTGTCCTTTTAAAAACGGTATATCATATGTGTAGGTGCAATGAATAAGGAAGATAGAAATTATGGTTAAACAAACACATAGCAAAAATTGCAAAATTGGTCCACAGAAGCGGAAACATTTTCTGAAGTCACTAAGGGGTTAAATAAAGGATTCACAGATACAGGGCATGTAAATATGGGCATCAGGAGAATGCCTGAGCCATAGGGACACTATTTATAGATTTCATTGAATGTTATAGGCATAAGTCTTTTTTATAAACGAGCTTTGACGAAGTCAGATTACAGCAAGGGAAGCTGCAAACTTTTCACTTACAAGTTTTATATATTTTTTTTCCTTTATCTTTGGCTTTTATGTGGCTGTGCCTGTTCAGAAAACATGATGCTTGTAAGATCCTGGAACCTTAAATGTTATCAGAACATCTGAATATGAGCCAAGCTAAATAGAAATTTACTTGTGAGCACTAATGTTTATGATGGATATTGCACAACATGGTAATGGAAGCTGGAACAAATAAAAACTAGAGCCGTGTGTTGAGCCTCACAAATATTCAGTTTAGTTTTCTCATTTGAAGCTGAAACCAGATTGCATGTGAGGGAAAATCAACATCAACACCACAGAGCAGTGGTAGCACGGAATTCTACAGTATAAACCAGCAGAGAAAAGCAAGCCCATCTGGATTCACCCAGTTGCATGGAGCTGGACAGTACATAGCCATGGAACAAGAAATGTTTGGGCATGCAATTGTATTTTTGATTCTGAATCATATACAGCAGGGGTAGACAAACTGCGGCCTTCTTGCTGTGGTGCAGCTACAATCCTTTTACAAATTGCAAGACTCTGACAGCCACAGGCATGACTTCCAGAGGCACAGGCATGATGGGATTTGTAGTTTCACTACAGCTGGAGGGACAGAGTTTGCCTACTTCTGATTTACAATATGTAGGTATGGACAGAAGAGTATTGTACATTTAGTGACACAACCCAGTGTGTCTTTGCCCAGGCAAAAGATAGGATGCTGAGGGCCATATGGTTAGACCCGGATGGCAAATCAGCGCTGTGTTTGTCAAGCCGTGATGGCAAGCTTTATTGTACGATCTTCCTTACGGCTTTCGTAGGTAAAGTTTTGTAGGTGCAGTCTACATTTAGGTGCATTCAGATTGCAATTAAAATCATGCAGACTAAAAACACAAAATGTACAGCTCACCCCTGTCTTGTATTACACATGCAGTGCACAGATAACTCTCTGCTAGAGTAATTGTCTCAAAAAACTGCAAAACCCGGCACACGATGCTCCTTCAAAAAATAGAACATTTTATTCCACATGCATCTGTACATAAAATATCCAGTGACGCGTTTCTGCCTTACGCGGCCTTAGTCATGAGCTGTGACGAAGGCTCAGTGAGGCAAAAATGCGTCAGTGGCTGTTTTAAGTATAGATGCATGTGGAATGCAACCAAGTGAATAACTGAACCACAGTGAAGTCAGCCGAACACCGTTCGTCTATTCACTTCAGCCCTGCATGGCTGAAAACAGTTGTACATCGGCTGCCTTCAGCTCCCTTCACTTTGGTTCAGCCGGACAGTTTAGCTGAGCTGAAATGACGAACCCGTTTGATTCAGCCGATCCAACACCCAGCAGTTCACTCACTGCCGTTCTACCCTGTTCTCCTAGGGGCCAAACAGCAGTGAGTGAATAGCTGAATGTTGCAGAAGGTATCGAGGTAGCAAATAGAATTAAAGAAAAATGTAAACAAAAATAAAGAAAAGAAAAACAGCATGTGGTCCCCTTCCCAAATCATACCAAACCCTTTAGGTCTGGTAGAAAAGTTAGGAGGGACCTCAAGTTAAAAATTAAACAAAAAAGTGCATGGGATTCCCCCCAAAAGTCACACCAGGCCCTTTAGGTACATAGGGTTCCCCCTAAAATTCCCAACCGGACCCTTAATTTGAGCACAGGCCTGGCATGGCAGGAAAGGGGGGGGGGACACGAAAGCAGCCCCCCTCCCTGCGCCAGGCCACATGCCCTCGACATTGGTAGGGTACTTTTCCAGGGGTTCCCCTGGAAAAGCACCTTGTCCCCATACCGATGGGGACAAGGGCCTCTTCCACCTCAACCCTGAACTGGTGGTTGTCGGGGTCTGCGGACAGGGGTTTTTTTTTGCATCGGGGTACCCCCTTTTTTACTCATTCACAAGGGGGGTGGGGGGGCAGCATCTGTGGGGGAACCCAGATGCTGCCCCCCCTTTTGAATGAGTAAGAGGTACATGTACCCCTACTCATTCATTAAAGGGTTAAAAAAATTAAATAAAGTCCAGATTTTTAGAAAAAAAAATTTATTGAAAAAAAAAAAGTTTTAGACTATTCCTTTAATAAAAAAAAAAAAGTCCAAAACAATTCCAAAAACTGATCCAACTAAGTAATCCCGAGTCAATCACGTCGTCCAGCGATGTCCACGACGCTGCTGACTCATCACATTTTTTTTTTAAACGACCCTGCCGACCAGGCCGCACGCGATGAACTAGCGACGTAGAATGACATTCTAGAGATGCTGCCTGCATGTAAACAGATAGGCGGTAAGAGCAGTGACATCACCGCTGGCTCTGCCTATCTGTTGACATTCAGCCAGCATCTGTCAAATCGCTATTGCAAGTCCTGACCAAATGAAAACAAATGGGCTGAGTCGGCCGTGACGTCACGACCGGCTCCGCCCATTTGTTGTCATACAATGACAAGCTACTGTCCTCAAATGATCTGAGGACAGTAGCCTGTCATTGCATGTCTATTGTGAATAGCCCATATAGCAGCCCTTCGGTTCGACTTAACCAAAGGTCTCCGGCGGCTGAAGTAAGCTGACTTATTAACAGAAGCTAAGGCTATATCCTTCGGCTCAATGGTGAATAACCCTCCTATTTTTTTTTGGCAGAGCATCGTGTGCCGGGTTTTGCAGTTTTTGCATTTGAAATCAGTCTGAGATTCTTCCGAGTTCCTTCTGAGCTGCTTCTTGATCTGCTTTTGACCTCCTTCTATGCTGCATCAAGCTACCTTTGCAATCCTATTAATTGGTATTATGAGAAAAGCTGTGCTGACACCAACAATTGCCTGTATACACATGCCTATATGTTACGTACGCCTGTATACACATGCCTATATGTTACGTACGCCTGTATACACATGCCTATATGTTACGTACGCCTGTATACACATGCCTATATGTTACGTACGCCTGTATACACAAGCCTCCATGTTACTGTGTAGCATGGAGGCCTAGCTAATTGCCAATAGATGGAATGGATTATTTCGGTATCACCTCACACAAAATCATTATTGGTAAATGTAAAGGATGCTGTAAAATCAGATTGTGACACACAATATATGGCCAACGTTGGTAAAGAGGACAGATGGACTCATGTGGGAAATTTGGACTAAAGATAAAACCTTCAGCAACCAAACAAATCTATAGTTCAGTTGTACAAGTTGCACTTATTATACTAACCAGCAGCCAAACAGTTAATGCTATAGTCCTATTTTTATTGTTGTAGCATCTTCACTTTTCTCGGACTGTATAAAGCCCAGTATTATATACAAATATTTTATATTTGGAAGCTGAAACTGTAAAAGTGAAAATGTATTTCTGATATTTGACAAATGTACTTGGTTTTCTAACACCCCGATATTACAGCTACAAGTAAATGAAAGGATTACTCCACCCAAAGAGTAGTTTCCAATGTTAGCCTTTTAGCAGGTCCTTGTGAATCACTGAACACGTAATGCATGGAATTAGAAACTGACAAACCTTTTACCTTTTCACAGCCATTGATGACAAGGTTCCAGACGGCTCTGAAGAGTTACCTTACCAAACAGATCCAAAGTCTGGACTTGGAGCTGCGTGACATGGTATGTACTGCTATATATTATATGCAGTGAGAGTTAGGGACCTGTTGGATACTTCTTTTCTGGGTGGGTTCAGTGTGTCTAGGACAGCAGGGTAAGGGGGAGCAGCACAAAGCCTCAATATTTACAAAATGCCAATATTTTTGTCACATTGTGTTTCTATCTTCTCACTACTTCAGGACATTTATAGCTGAACTAAGCAACTCTAGAAGGAGGTGATGCGTGGGATATCCGGAGGCTAGAGATACACTTTCATGAAAAGCACTTCATGGAGCATTTGCCACCTAATGCTCGCTTGTGTTCGCTTTTAAGATCAGACATACAAATACCATCACCATTTACAGGGCTTGAAAATTTTTAGGGTGTCTCACCAGTCAGTCAAACATTTCACCATGTTAACATTTTTTAGGGACAGATAGAGCTTTCTTTTGGTGGTATTTAATCACCACTGTGGGGGGGGGGGGTATTTTTTACTATATAATGAAGAAAGTACCGTAAATTTCGAGAGAACAAAAAAATGTTTTCCCTACGTTATGTTATAAGACATTTATTCTCACCCATATTTTTGGTAAAATATAAAATATGGGGTCACGTCGGGTAAATATACATCACTTCCTGCATTCGGGGACCGGAGAGGAGATCAGAGGGAATTCGTGTACTGTTCTCCCTTTGATCTCCTGTCACAGAGCCCCGGGCACAGTGGACCTCGGGACCGGCACTGGCAGTGACAGCTGACGCCCGATTGCTTGAATGTAAACCGCCATTCAAAGACGCTCCCGGCCGGCCGTTTCATTACATCCAGTGTCCTTTTGTCAGAGATGAGAGGACGAGTGGATTTTCCAAGCCCTGACCATTTAACATTAGTGATGTTTGAGGACCTAAAGAACTCCAATATATGTACAAAGTGCTCATTTTAGTCAAGGGGCTAAAATAAAGAAAATATACTCACCCAATCCTCAGTCCTGCGGCGGTGAGCGCTCACCTCTCTCCCCCCCTATGCTCCAGCTATGGAATGTCCCTTGGTGTCTTCATATCTAATGCAGCTGCATTAGATATGATTACATCATGGGTCCTTAGACTGCCAGAGCCTGGGGGAGAAGAGACTGTGGGGACCAGTCTAGCAGACATGTAGAATCAAGGATTGGGCGAATCATTTTCTTTGGGTGTTTTCAGCACAAGGGTTTTTGTTAGGGTTGCACAGATACCAAGTACAGTACTCGGTACAAGTACGAGTACATGAACCGATACTTTTGAGCTCCAAGACTAGACTAGAGAAAAATTCAAAAATTAGGAGGCAGCTGTCATTTGTAAGGCGCACGCAGAGTTCCTGGGATTTGTACATCTCTGTTTTAACCACTTGACGTCCGCCCGTTGCAAAAAAACGGACGGACGGCACTAGAGCTGCAACAATTATTCGATTAAGTCGATTAAAATCGACGATGGAAAACGTTGCCAACGTTTTCCATCGTCGATTCGTCGGCTAAAATTCAAATTTCCCGCTCGCCGCTGCACGCCGCTCACGCACGCTGCTTACGCCCGCCGCTTACGCCACGCCCACGTCAGTTAAGCCGCTCGCGCCTACGCTGGTGTCACGCGACGCCGCGCCACGCTGAGGACATGCGTCTGGCCCTCTCTGGCCGAGAACGAACAACGCCGCTGCCCGCCGACAACACCGTCATTCAAGGTAAGTCGAGATCGGCCGGGAGCTTTTTAATGTTTCCTGTGTGTTGTGTTTTTTTTTTTTAAAACGGCACACTGCAGAACATTAGCAGCTATAGAGGAACACCAAATCCCTGCAAGAATTCATTAAACAGCCTGTATAATGTATTATTGCTGGGATTTGTTGTTCCTCTATAGCTGCTAATGTTGTGCAGTGTGCCGGTGTATTATACATTGGTTTTCTGCATTGCATTGTATTGTGCATGGTGTTCTGCATTGTATAATACAGTGACACACTGCAGAACACCAGCAGCTATAGAGGAACAACAAATCCCAGCAATAATTAAACAGCCTGTATAATGTATTATTGCTGGGATTTGTTGTTCCTCTATAGCTGCTGGTGTTCTGCAGTGTGTCACTGTATACAATGCAGAACACCATGCACAATACAATGCAATGCAGAAAACCAATGTATAATACACCGGCACACTGCACAACATTAGCAGCTATAGAGGAACAGCAAATCCCAGCAATAATACATTATACAGGCTGTTTAATGTATTCTTGCAGGGATTTGGTGTTCCTCTATAGCTACTAATGTTCTGCAGTGTGCCGTTTTAAAAAAAAA